AGCAAAAGTAGTCGGATGAAGGCATGACACAAATGAACAGTGCATTGTTTTTGACAGCCTTACGCATTTTCGTGACAATGGCGGGAGACAGTTTCAGCTTCATCTGTAATGGTGTGGCCAATGTGTTTTAAAATAGATATGTAGCTACGTTCTCTTACCATTTTGGGTAGTTTGACTATTCGGGAGTAATACGACTTTCAATTTGCAAGGGTTTCAGGTTTCCGGTTACAGAGAGTCCGCCTGGTTGTGGCGGACTTTCTTGTGGAGGCTAAGGAGGGCCGTTGTAATTTGCCCTTTTCGTTAGTGTACTGCCGCCATGTTAAATGTTCCCCGGATTTGGCAGAGGGTGGGCTTGCACCCTGCTCTCCCCAATCCCCCGCCATGTTCTGCCAAGCCCCCGGCCCCAGCCCCAGCACCAACCCTAGCCCAGACTTCAGTGCCAGTGCTAGTGCCAGTGCCAGGTTCAGCCTCAGTCCCACTCCCACTCCCAATCACAGTCCCAGTCCCAGTCCCAGTCCCAGTCCAAGTCCCAGTCCCAGTCCCAAGTCAGTCCCAGTCCCAGTCCCAGTCCCAGTCCCAGTCCCAGTCCCAGTCCCAGTCCCAGCCGCAGTCCCAGGCCAAGGCCCATCCGGAGGCGTAGCTTTAGCTCCAGTCCAGCCCCGTGATGCACTACTTAGCGCCGTACTGATCAAATACGCATGCAACCGAGGGCGAACACCAACCGAATACCAGGTCCAGGCCGGGCCCCAGTGCCAGGTACAGGCCTAGCCGCAGCCGCAGCCCTGTCCTGTGAGGCGCTTCCTAGCGCTGCGCTGATACGTTACGCATGCAACCAACGGCGATGTAGCCAAGGAGGATTGGGTTAAGGGGCGCGGGAATCATATTCAAGTTGGGGGAGGGGATCCAAAATGTCAAAATGAGCCCTAAGCTTAGATAGAAGGCCCGCGTATGTGCGATGTACATACGTATATGATGTATATATGATGTAATGTACATACGCAGCTCGCCTAGCTTCTTGGGGTGCGCATAGTAAAATGGGACCTCCTCAGCCTTGGCAGGGGCGAGCACACCGTTGACAAAGGCCCCCCTGATAGTAAAAGGACCTCCAAAAATCGCCGGATATGGAACGTCTGTTATTAAGGTAATGCTTCTCTTTATATATCTATATATATATATATATATATATATATTATAGATATATATATATGTTTTATATATATATATACGTGACCTGTAAATTTCTTTAGTTACATATCTATTTATTAAATTATAGACATTCCATATACATACATATACACACGTATAGGTCACGTATATATATATATATATATATATATATATATATATATATATAATATACACAAACATTACAATTTTTACCTCCTATGACTGGAATGTAGGCAGGTACCGTGAGATTATTCTGCAGTAGGTTTATAGTACAATAAACTGATGGAGTCACGTGTTAAAATTACTGCATGACATAAATCCCCGGTGTTCTTCATTTTACAGTGGTCGAGTGAAGTATTTTCAAAACGATGGAGCTCAAAACTTTGTCAGAATTTTTATATGGGTTGTACAGAAATAGCAAAGACTCCGCGAATATAGCTTGAGGATCAAATGGTTCAATAATTTATGTCAACGTGGCCGGATTTCGTTGGTCTGGATATCTTCAACATTCATTCAGCAACGGATTAATGGTGCTGCAACTTATGTAACGTAGTTTTCAACCTGCGCCGCTGGAATATCTTAGAGAAGAAAAAACTCGGCCTCAGGCTTTGTAGTCTGCTTAGACTGCACAGCCTGGGCCCGGCGACTTCCATTCGAACGTGGCTAACAGCTCGACCGAAAATAGAGATGCATCTAGCAGAAGTACCTTTGGTGGACTCAAAATTGTACATTTAGAGACATTACCGGCGTTTATTTCACCTGTGCGATTTTTTAGATTGATGACAATAACGTATTGGTCTTTGCAGCACCGTGAAGTGGCACTGGAAATCTGGTTGTGCAATCAGAAGAGTAAAGTCAAAATTTATCTTTGTTATGCTGCTATAACGTTAATCTGTACAGAGGACCATTTTCAAAATTGCTAAAAAAGAGTCGCCCAGTGAAGGCTTCGGACTGTACGAATTCATTTTTTTAAGGTGTTCAGAACCATTATTTCACTATGGGTCATTGTTGCGCGCTTGGCGCCCGCCCCTGACGTTACTTGCAGCGGTCAACGCCGTTCGGTTTGCGAAAACTGCGACCCTAGTCATCGCTATCCTTGCTCCCTGAGATTACGGCCGTGTGAGTAGGGCTTTATGATGCATTCAGCATTTGGTGCTATACGGCGCCGCCAGCCTCTCACCCTGGCGGGAAGGGCGGGCACCGCGGGGAACCGAACCCCGTACCTGTGGTTTCCCAGGCGCGCAGTGGTCAACGCACTGGCGCGCATGAACCACTACACAATTGGCCCCCGGCGCGCAGTGGTCAACGCACTGGCGCGCATGAACCACTACACAATTGGCCCCCGGCGCGCAGCGGTCAACGCACTGGCGCATGAACCACTACACAATTGGCCCCCGGCGCGCAGTGGTCAACGCACTGCCGCGCATGAACCACTACACAATTGGCCCCCGGCGCGCAAGCCTGAGCATTTTGATCGCTATTTGTTTCGATTGTCGATGCTGCAAACCAATAAACGTGTTCAGGGAAACATGGGATGGCCTTGTGCGTTTTGAACTTATTTTGACCCAGTCAATTTAGCACTAATGAGGCCCCTTATTTATTTCGGACAGAGGGGTCCCCTTGAGTACAACACTACGGGACACATTGTTGTTCCCACGAGCTGAAGGGCCATTCTGTCCCACCGTGGTGTGTTTTCCGGCCGTCATTTTGTAAAAAGGAGTGGCATCCCCTGTTCGATCCGGAGGCCCTCAGAGGGATACATCACATCGCGTTGGATCGCTCCCTGACGCGGGAGGCCTTCTGACCCGCGTAGTTGACTCCGGATCGACGCATGGACCGTCATTAACACAACAACATCCCTGGCCATGGCAGGTGGTTAAATAATTGGCACATGGACTACAGTTGGGCTTAACGGGCGCGGCTCAAAAACTGGTTGGAGGGCCGCCGCTCGGTACTGAGAGTGCTTGCTGGCACAGGGCTCTCCCATCACCTCAATGTGAGCACTCATCATAAGGTCTTGTTTCCTTCAATTGTCGGAGGGCCCGACCAACGCGAAAGATCCTCTGCCATTGGGGCTCCCGTCCCCGTCCCTGTTGAGCAAATCTTCCCCCGACCAGTTCGAAGCCTCTTGCTGACACAAAATATCCTGTCAGGCACTGTGGACCCCTGAACGCCACAAGAGCCGAAACGACGTAACCGCGGGTTTGGTCTTGTCCCTGGCTGGGAAATGAGCCCCAGAGCTCAGACCAGCACATACCTGACTATCCATTGTTCGTGATCTCTAGCTAAAATAGAGCAACGCTCTGTCTCAGGGGTCCCTATCGGTGCAAGAAATCCTCTTACTGATATTTGAGATCACGGCCCTATGGGCGGGGTCCTTAATGTGACCTACGGCCAGCACTCCGGACCCTTCAGCCATCCCATCGGCCCTTGATCTTTGGTCTCGAGAGACCCTTTGGCCTCTCTTGAGGTCCCCTCAAACACCGCTCCGGCCGGGGGTCAGTTATCGCCGCAGGATCCGTTTGGCACTGTGGCCCCTAACCGGCACAGGAGCCCCTCATCGTGTCAGGGACCTCCAACATGGCAAATTGAGGGATCCCGGCCTCGTTTCTGCTTGGGAAATGACTCAAGGGCTCAGACGGACATGGAGTCAACTGTTCGGTGTTCATGGTCTCTGACCGACTTACACACCCGTATTGTCTCAGGGGTCCCTAAAACTGTGCAAGATGACCTCTGATTGATATTTCAGGTCACGACCCCACGGGCCGCGTTTCTTTATGTGGCTCCGACTTTATAACTGATTGGGAAGTGCGTCCTCAGGCCCATACCGACACGGGGCAGAGACTATGTGGTGCGGTAGTACCTGGCCAACACATAGGCCCATATCCGACTCAGGAGGTCCCCGATCGGCGCAAAGAGCCCTCTGACCCTTATTTGAGGGTCCGTCTTGCAGGTCTGGCCTCTGAATAAGCCCCTTCGACCAGCCCTTTACGCCCTTAGACCCTCCAATCGGACCCTTGATTGACGGACCGGGTGGGCGCTATAGGTTCTTGGGACCTCCTCGAGCACTGCTTTGGCCAACTTGGTGCCCCTTGACAACACGGGGCTCCTGTTGGACGTTGTGGGGCCCCTGAGCAATGTAAATTGTTGGCTCCGGCTTTGTCCCTGCTGGGGAAATGGGCCACAGGTCCATTCCACCAAGAAACTGACTGTCCGTTACTGGTCCACGACATAACGTTACCCATCCACGACATCCGTTACCTCCGTTACGTTACGTCCACGACATCCGTTACCTCCCCACGACATTACGTCACGACAACGTCCCCCACGACATTACAGCGACCGTCACCACAATGTCCTCGGATGTCTCAACGGCATGGCATTCCAGCAATCGGGCACGGCTTGTACACGCCGTCGCCACGCCGTCCCCGCGTCTCTGCGAAATGACGTCGCAGTCACCTTAGCACTTGCCATTCTCGCAACTGAATTACGACGTACATTTGTTGGCCGGATTTCAAATGCTGCCTATGCACGCATGTCAAAGTCCGATTGGAGCGGCCAGGGTGTAACTCTGACTAGCAATGGCTATGACTATTGCAGCATTCACGGATGTTGTTGCACGCTCAGCAGGCGGCCTTCGAAAAAGTTATGTACTATCGTTATCATTCTCCCCACGCCCGATTATTGACGACTGGCCTCGCCTTTGCCAGCGTGCCCATCCCCCCCTTGCCATGTGTCCTTGCCGCAGGGGGAGAAAACAGAGGGAGGGGGCGTGAAATGGGAGGGGGAGTTGTAGGTCCTGGGGCGCCTCTTTCCTGTGATACTCTGGTGACGGGGCACACTACTGGCGTATAGACGGTGGGAAGAGCTTTTTCAACCGGCTGGAGTCGCAGGAACATCGGATTGTGAGTGAAAGGTGGATAACGCTAGGCGATAAGGTCCACGCTTGCACCTCCGCTCCGCGGCGTTCGATGCGCAAGATTGAATCCAGTGGAATATTGGATCGCGCTCGGAGTTATGCATTAGAGGAAGCACATGTGAATCCTGTATTTGATCACATTAATTGTGTTATGTTCTGTGTAGCTGTTCGGACTCAAAAGAAGGCCATCAGGTATTTATCTTGTGTTGGCCATGCATTAACAGTTACTAGCCTTGTCACCACATTGTCTCCCTTGGGTAGCTACGCTGTATAATGTTTTACATTCATTTGTTTGGGATCAGTCTTTGCTGAGTACAGTGTGCTGCAAATTGTTAAGTAGATTTACTATTTGATGTTAGAATTTGAGTTCAACAAGTAATGTTTGAATTATTTAAGTGTGTCATTCAGTGATGCCTGTTCCGGCCACTCCTCTATGTTCCTTGAAGCTCCTCCAAACTAACCTGATTGTTCCTGTGGCTCCTGCAACCTCCTCCAACCTCCTCAAAGCTTGTGCTCATGTCATCCAACTTCCTCCAAAGTGAAGGTATTTTCCAGAGTAGTTTGGAGGAAGTTGTGGTATATATCAGTGGGCCAATATATTCATATGCTTCTCAGCTCCATGTGTTTTTGCAGAACAGAGATAACACACTGGTGTCAAGGTTGTTGTGGACAGTGTATATTCTAAGCCATTAGTTTAGTTGTGTTATATGATTTAATATAAAATCATAACATCTAGGTTATTTGAGTTTAGTGCCATAAACCATGGCTAAACTATGCAGAGTTTGTTGGTATGTTTCAAAATGGTAGCAGATTGATTTCAGTTCTCACCTGATCTCCTCCAAACTAATCTTATTTTTTAAGAAGTGAGGGGAATGGAACTGTAGTAATTTTCCATCCCAAATCCCAATGCTTCAGCCAGTTTGACTACTTGCCTCCTGGCTCACCTGTCTGTGGTACAGTGGGTTGAGTTACTACATGCCCTCTTTTTACATTTGGCTTGCATGGCCTTGTGGCCAGTGGCAGAGCCAAAAGTTATGTGACTGAATGCCAAGGGCAGGATAGGACGGACCATGCCAAGGATGACCACATTTAACATTGACCTCCAAATTTTGTCATTAATGTGGAGTTTCATCATCAGATGAAAGGGATCAGGGTTCATGTAACAAGCACTACATAGTATGAACTTGATCCCTAAAATTCATTCTTAGTGTGGACTCTGACCCCTGAAATCCATCCTTTCAAAATGTTTGGGCAAAATATGGTGTGAATGTTTTGGCATTGCATGCTACCACTAAAAATCAAGCCACATAATCAGATTTGGTGCAGTATTCCATGTACCTGCTGTGCATCTGTCAATCATTGATTCTGTCCGATATGAGCTACATGTGTTGGGTGACTGATATTGCCCTTTCTCTTCAGGGTGCATGTCAATTGCCCAAACATTTGATGTCATTACATGCTTTTGCAAGTTACCTGAAGCTATCTGAGTTTAATATTTTGAATGTATATTACCCTTACATATTTAATGAAGCAGAGTAAAAAGTAGTGGTAGAACTAGCTGAAATTCATGTATTTGGTGTCATATAGGTGTGCAAGGCCAGCAAAATCAAACTAGTAAGGAAAAAGCACACAATAATCCCTTTAACTCACACACTTTGTAGCACAAATGCCTGATCCATGGTTCTCTTAAACTTGGAATGGAAAGTTGAAAGATGTCAGTATTTCCATTCTCTTAAAAAACTGGGCTTGGTCATGGTGACCAGGTCAAATGCAAGGTGTATTCTAGAACAATGTCTGAAGGCCTATTTGTTTGCTCATTCTGTGTTGGTTTTGCATTTGGCTCAGTCATAATCCTGATGTACTGGGTTTCTTATAGCACAATGAACCAATGTGCCAACAAACATAAAAATATGTCAGACACTTCCAGTTTGATGTGTTGCCTTTGTTATACTGCAATTTTTGTTGTGTTATACTGGCTTGATGTGGAGTAGCAATGTAAAATATGAGAATGAGTAAATGTCAGTGTGACAAGGACTTTCTGGAAGGCAATTTCAAAGAAGCTTCATAGGGGAATAACATGATCCTGTCAGTAAGATAGGTTGTTGTTGAATAAATCACGTAAATAATAGTGGTAATAGCCTTATTTCTCAGATAAAAACTGGGAGACTGGAGATGCAGATGTGTTGATATTTCAGCAAAATGCCTTCACTCAAATAATAGCAGAAGACTATCAACGAGCAACACAGATATAAGGCTATTGCTACCATATTATACATGTGAAAAGGGTTCCCTGCAAAGGCATGTAACAGCTTCCATGGTCACCTGAATTGAAAAAAAATTGGCTTTCTGCTTTTTGGTGTGTTAGTTTTGTTTTGAGGCATTCAGATAACCATGAGGGAAAATGATCCCCAATTTAGGGCATTGGTGGAAATTCAAGGTTGTATAATGTGGGAGATAATCATGTGTAAGATTGCAGTATAGTGGTTGGTGCTCCTAGCATGGAAAATGTTTTGACTAAAAACTGGCTAAAAGAGAATCTACAGAAGTATGTCTGAGGCACGTACAAAAGAGACCCTTAATTGTTATGACCCAGACAAGCAGCAGTTTGAAACCAGGTGTTTTGGGCTGTTGCAGCATGAATGTACCTGTACCTCTGTTACATTGGTGCTGGAGTACCTCATGTACATCATGTACATCACAGATGTTATGTACCTCAGGTAGAAGGGTGATAAACTTAATACTGATAATCAAGGATGTTTTAAACACTTGTTTAGTAAGGTGACTCTTTAGAAGAAACTTTTTCTTTAGTTTTTAGAGTTTTTAGCTGGAGTATGAGGGTCAGTGGATTTTGTAACTCATTCTCAATGTCAGCCATGAGAACAGGTTGTTGTTAGGGGTGATGCAAATGTGATCCAAACTGATGTTTCCGGACTAAAAGGCCTCTTTGTAACTCCTTGTGTCTACAGTCTTGGTGCTTAGATTCAGCATGGGTACAATAAGTTGTCACACACCCAAGGGTGCTCAAATGCTTTGCACACCTAGCCCAATAGAGCAGGACATTGCCACATGGCCTTTTTTGACATCCATGTCATGACCATCTTAGTAAAATGTGCATACCCCTGGACATTGATAGGTTATGCATAGTCTTTTAAGTGGGGAATCCACAAAAGGACACACTATCCTCTGTGCCTCATCCCACCTCTGATTGAAAAGTATTTCAGTAAAAAGTTGTTGGTTTTAAGACGTGCTGCAACACCCACTTGTGGAACTATTTCTGGTGCAGTACAGCCTTTCAATCTGCGACAATTTACCTTGGTTGGCACACCATCTAAGTTGATGACATGTTTTTTTTTTATTTCAGGGGTGGACATGGCAGGCCTTTCGATAACGTCGCTGGGTCGCGGCCAGTGCTGTATGCTGTGCTGCAATCAGCTGTACTCGACGGGGTTCAACATCTACCAGGCCCGCACTTACCATGGAGAGAAGAGCTTCTACGCTAAGCTGTTGGAGCTGACAAATGTACGTGGCTTGTGTTCACTTTACTGTATTTGTGTGCAATGATTGGCTGTGAGGGAGTGTTTCATATTCATGAGGGATTTTGAACCGAGATAGCCATTTTGGAGATCATTCAGCACACTTCACGGGCCTGCCCTCTTCACGACTTAAAACCTCCAGTTTCTGATATTGACGCTCATAAACGGATGCACACCATCTTGTGTGCAGACTTTTTGAAGGTTTCTCAGGCATGCATGATACCGTTGAAACGCCACGCGAACACCGCCATCTCATTTGCCACTTAGTGCTTAACGCCAAGCACAAACACGATTATCGAGCCATCCATGGCTGGCGTGTCAGCACAATTTCTCGCATGAACAGACTTTAACTGACCCTGAGCCAACGTAAGGCGTTGAGTGCAAAAGTGGAACATGAGACACGTTTCGTTTAACGTTTAGCACGGGAAGTTGGATGGTGGTACGAGTTGTGACGGGAATAAGACCGGAATCGAATAACTTAAGAGTATGACCACAACCATGTACATGAGTTCAAGTGCAGTACAAAATCGCGGACAAACATACAGAAGCACCGCGAGGAACGGTCAAAACACGAGCACATGATGGTATTGGCTACGCAAACACGCTCCAGTAACACACTGTCACCTATTGGCAAGTTGAGGCATTACAAGTCGGTCAGCCCGTCCGCTGCAGGGGCAATTCTGACGCGGGGAGTGACGGCCAGGCTAGTAACGAAATGACATCATAAAGACGTTGCATGACATAATAAAATAATAACGTATTGAGCAACACATTTGCCAAATAATAAAACTTGTTCTCTGGAGCAGTCTATAACACTTAAAAGGAATGCTCCATATTCGAAGATATCGAAGCAAGCATCAGACGTCATGAACTGAGTTCACCGATAGCCATTAGTATAGTTTCACAGAGTGTTCTACATTTCTAAGGGGTTTGAACTGAAATAGCCATCTTGATGATCATTTGGTGTAGTTAACAGACCTGCCCTTTTTGAGATATAAACCTATCTAGTTTCTGAGGTACACGCCCGCGAGACGTGGAGGCTGTTCTGCACAGTATTTCAAGGTCATTTTGGTATTTATGACGTCATGATAACGTCGTTTAGATCCTGCCATTTCTTAAGCCATGCGACGATCGAGGTTAACGAAAATATATTGGTCAAGCGGTTCATACCATGCGTCCGTGAGCACGGGTTCAAGATATAACGGCCGCCCTTGGTTCTCAATCAAGGTTGTGCAAGGTACGGTAACGTAATCAAACTATATCGTATCGAGGAGCCTAGCTGATAAACAGCTAAAATATGTTGTCGAGAGCAGTCTTTTCAACTTAAAGCATGACACTAGTTTTGAGTTTGTTCGATCATGTCTGATACTTGCTGCAATATCTTCAATTGCGAAACATTCCCCCATGTAGAAAGGGCTGCTGTAGACAAAACAATTTCTCCGTTTAGTTAACATGTTTCTTATTACGCCATTGTTTGATAACGTCATCGTGCCTTGCACAGGATTGATTGAGAGTCGATTGGCGACCGTTATGTGTGGAAGTCGTGCTTACGATCGCCAAACATGAACGACTCGACAACTATATTGGTATTGGCCTTGATCGCCGCGCGGCCAATGGAATGACAAGAATTAAATGACGCTACAATGGCGTCATGGATATCAGGGTGATCTTGAAAGCCTTCCCGGAAAAATTTGCACATTGTCGTGGCATGTAGCTCAGAAACTAGGAGGGCTGTGGTCTTGAGAACGGCGGGGCTGTGAACTGCACCAATAATCTTCAAGATCGCTATTTCAGTTCGAACCTCCTTACGAATGTAGAGTACTCCCCGTTGGGTTATAAGCGAGCTTATTTCCTCACTTCTGATTTTTATCTTAATATTTTCAAATGTGGAGCATTTCCTTTAGCCAGATTAATTCGGCTGGAAGTCTTGGGATTGGCATGCGTTAGCTATGTTGGTAGATCACTAATCTTCGCCTCTAACCAACCGAATCGAATTGCTGATGTTGGCAGTTATCAGTTTCTATGATGACCACAACGAGGTTATTTGACGAAGTATTCCAAAAATGGAAAACTTCCGTTCCATCACCCTCCCCCGCCTCTATTGTATATGACAGCTGTCTTCAATATATATCTTTTCTTCAGTACTTTGCATTCAGCCGGTCCATCCTCGCGTCTTAGTCAGTGTGTGCAGCTCGCATGTAAACTGTAAGCTGTATTTATCCAGGGAGTTATTACCATGTTGTGCTAGTGGTATAGCAATGTTGGCTGCTCGTGTGCAGGGCAGGGCGGGGCGTCACCACGCCATCCCCGCTGTGTCGGCAGTATACGGCCAGCATGCCGCAGCTGGTGAGCGACTCACTCTGCAGCGTCTGCGCCACGATGGTCTCCCAAGTGGACCAGCTGGAGTACCAGCTGAGCCACGTCATCTCGCAGATCCGCGCGCTCTTCCACAAGATGGTGCAGTCGCAGACGGAGGTGGCCGCCGCCCGGCCGGGCCGCGGCTCTCTCGGCCCGCAAGGTAGCGCTCGCCGTCGGTGACCGAGCTGGCCCGCTGCGCCTGCCGGCCGGATGGCTCATGGTCATCGTGCCACTGCTGAACGCTGATATAACCATATGTGTGGCGGTTGAATATCGGCTAATACCAATATCATTATTTTGTCGCGCGTTTTAAGAGATGTGAACTTGCTGCAGTGCAGCGTCGCCATCATCGAACATGCTTCCTCTAGTGGGTGAGGAGCCACTAGAGTTGCGCTGTTTGGGGCCACTGTGATCGTCTGCTGTGCCTCGCCGTTCCCCATGGTCCGCGATAGCCAATCAGCGTGGGACACGTCACTCCACTGGTGTGCTTGTCAGGCCTGCCGGGCGGCGCGGCACGGACATCGTCCACTGAGGTGTCGTCGGCCTCCAGCGCGTACCTGCCCGAGGTCAAGTCAGAACCTAGCACAGACCCACCACCACACGCGTCCCCGTACTACGCCAAGAAGCCGCCGAAGGAGGTATGACCGCTGACGTCAGCTCGTGGGCCACGCACCTTGATGGAAATGGCAATCTGGGAACGGAGAGGGAACGGGAGAGAAAGAATCCGATTGCATGTGTGATATGGCATGACAGTACGTAAATGAAGGTCGTGTGTTTTCTGTCGCAGTTACACCCCGCCTGTGGTCCTACCCTCCTCAAGGTCAAGACCGAACACCTGAGGATGCCGCACACCCGCGCCTTCTCCTTCTTTACCAGGAACCGTCCATGGAAGGTGGGGCCACGTGGCCAGATCGACTACTGGATTATGTCCTTGAATCAACCCTTCTGTCCCATTGCCACTTTCAGACCTGGTAAGGCAAAGGTACTGCGTGGATATAGCAAGCTGAAGCTGTCGTCATGAATGGTTGGCTTTAAGTCACCAGTTACAAAACCATGTTGACACACAGCTGGGTGTTCTTGATCTATTGCCTGGGGTATAGTTTTGTTGATTTTTGTTAGGTTTGGTTGATCCACAACATGTTTTTTTTTTAATTAACGCATTTGTGCGGGAAGCTACAGCCTGGAAGTGATATGGTATTGCATAACCGTCATCGCCATTCACACACATCAGTGAGCATGAATGTTTATGGCCATATGTATCTGGGCTGTGAAACCTTATATCTTTATTGTGTCTGGGGTGCATCCAGAGCACACACATAAGACATCGAGATTTCGTGTCAGTGGTCAAAGCGTCTTCATTGATAGGTGGTTTCCACGATTATATTGATGATTATCAAGTTATATGGGTTTCAGACAGCATAGCTTGTTTCCACGATTATATTGATGATTAGCAAGTTATATGGGTTTCAAACAGCATTTTTTTCAGGGTTTTCATTCAGGGTTTTCTTGATCTATTGCCTGGGGTATAGTTTTGTTGATTTTTGTTAGGTTTGGTTGATCCGCAACATGTTTTTTTTTTTTAATTAACGCATTTGTGCGGGAAGCTACAGCCTGGAAGTGATATGGTATTGCATAACCGTCATCACCATTCACACACATCAGTGAGCATGAATGTTTATGGCCACATGTATCTGGGCTGTGAAACCTTATATCTTTATTGTGTCTGGGGTGCATCCAGAGCACACACATAAGACATCGAGATTTCGTGTCAGTGGTCAAAGCGTCTTCATTGATAGGTGGTTTCCACGATTATATTGATGATTATCAAGTTATATGGATTTCAGACAGCATAGCTTGTTTCCACGATTATATTGATGATTAGCAAGTTATATGGGTTTCAAACAGCATGAAATGCTGATGTTAAAAATCATGTTGACTGCGCAAAGTTATGTTAGAGATCATGTCATGTTAGAAATTATGCACAGAGTGTAATTAACTTCATATTTTTGGATGTGTCCAGAATACAAATCAACCCCAAACTATACACGTCATGATTTGTTTTGAATGACTATCAAGTAGTCAGTGTCATATATGATAAAGCTTAACCCTATTACGAGTTTCTTGTACTACAAATCGGTGATTGCTGTAGAACATCGGTTAACTAGTGACACCTGGTATATGGGAGGTCAGTTATTTTTAACATGATGACGTATTGCTCAGAAACCAGTTGTGCAATATTATGAAATATTACGATATGTCGCCGCTATCGTCATGAAACGCATCCAGATCGCGGCGAAATGTCAGTGTAGGCAGGTTGGGTGCGATTATATGCCGACTCCATACTTTTTCGCGGCTCCGCTCCCGTAGAAATAATGTTCATTGGGTACGACTGTGCGTGCCGCGCCCCGGCTGGCTGCCCGCGTCCAAGCCTCCGTCGCTGGGCTGTTCCAGAACGGCACTCCGTCGGCGACGACAACCCGTCGTCCATCCTGGACGCCTGGCCTGCCTGCGCCGCCGGCCGAGGCGCCGGCGCCGCTGGTCAGCGCCGCCGCCGGCGCCGGCCAGCCCGACGACGGCCTGTTCAACATCGGCGCCTTCCTGCAGACCGACCTGCGGGAGCCGGCCGCCGCCGCCGCTGCCGCCGCAGCCGCCGTCCACTCAGCCGCTGCCGCCGCCGCCGCTGCCGCCGCCGTCTCCTCCGCCGGCGACTTCACCGACAAGTTCGTGCGCACCGTCGATTCGGAGGACGCGTACCGCTTCCAGTGCGTGCTGTGCAGTAAGCTGGGCGACTCCGCCGAGGTGATCCGGCGCCACGTGCGCGCCGACCACCCGGGCGCCGACCGCATCAGCTTCCCCGGCGCGGCGCCAGCCAAGCGCGCCAAGCCGTCGGCCGGTGCGGTCAAGCCCGCCGCCAGCAAGGTGCCCCGCTCCATAACGGCCAGCTCGCCGGCCATGGCGCAGAAGATCGCCGAGCGCGCATACGTGTGCGCCGGCTGCGACAAGGCGTTCGGCTGCGAGGCGTTCCTGACGCGCCACGTGACGGCGCAGCACTGCGGCCGCATGTTCAGCTGCCAGTACTGCGGCAAGGAGTTCAGCCGCAGCGACAAGAAGGTGCGTCACGAGCGCTCGCACACGGGCGAGCGGCCCTTCAGCTGCGGCTTCTGCGGCAAGGCGTTCTCGCGGCGCGACAAGTGCACCTACCACGAGAAGAGCCACACGCGCCACCGGCCGTTCGAGTGCCAGCGCTGCGGCGAGGTGATGTTCTCGGCCGGCGCGTACGCCACGCACCGCCAGAGCTGCTCGGACGAAGTGCAGGGAACCGGGTCGCTGTGGCACGCGCAGATGCGGCCGGCCTCGGCGGCGCCCCCGGCCGCCGCCGCCGCCGAGGCCGGCGACCCGTGAGCGGCGCCGGCCGCCGCTAACGCGCCGACGCCGGCGGGCGAGGGCACGGCGCGTGGCCCCACGGCCCCGTTCAGCCCGTGACGCGGCGGTGCAGGGCCGGGACGCGTCGGGGATGGACGCCCAGCGGCGCCGTCTCCGCCCGCTACGATGCCGCCCAGGCTCGGTGGGACACCCGCGAAGGGTCTCGTGGGTGCACTGACGTGTTGTCGCCCGTCGGAGCTGTTCGAGATATGGACACTGCTGTTCACTGGCCAACGCGCGCGGAAATTCCGACACTTGTGTTAAGGTAGGGATGCACTTGGTTTTAGTGCGTGCTCCTGCGATCACACGAGCTATACAAGTGTCCAGACCGACTGGATAACTTGTTTTAGTACAATTGTTGTATTGCAGATCCTTTCTTCCAGCAAGGCTTTACAAACGGCGTGACAAAGGCTGTTTGATTTGTGCTCTAGTACCTGATGCGTGATTTCGTTCTGTGACATTTGGAATGCTGATTTTCGTTAGGTCGTGCTGCTATGAGTTGTCATGACCAACCAAGCCTGTGCCATTGGGCGGCATGTTACTGCCTGGATGAGGTGGTTTACTGAAGCCGAGCAGAAGAATGAGGTGAAAGGCCCATGCGGGCTGGATATCTTAAACCGAGGTGATCCGTCAGTTGTGGGCGTACCGTCTTTGAGTTGAGCTGAAAATATTTTTAACTGAAAACGTTTTAGCCGGTTTTTTAACGAGCGTTCCCGTTGATTAGCCAATATCCGAAAATATCACGCGTCCCTGAGGCAAAAACGTGCTCACATCATCCGCTTATAAACCAGCACGCTGTCACGTTGCTTGATGATACGTCATGTATCCGTGCGAATGCAACGGTATGCATATGTTAGTGTGTGTGTGTGTGTTTGTGCGTGTGCGTGTTCATGATCGTTCATCCCTTTTCGGTGATCGAGGAACGTGGTCCTGCCGGGTTTTCTCTCGATGGGCGGGGAGTTGGCGCACGTGTTACATGTTATCCTTGATTTCTCCCATGCGGCCGTCGTGCTGGGAGATTGCCTTGTGCCTACGTTCATAAGACGAAGGTATGATACCATGCACTTTTTAATCATTCTGTGTAAGCATGTGTGCCAAAACTAGGTTGCTCTTACTTCAGATCTCGTTTCTCGAGTCATTCATGAACAGCTCGCGCGAATGAAGCTGGCGTTCGTGGCACATATGTTCGTATGGCGTCACTGAAAACGGTGTGTGTTCGTAGTTTGCTTTATGGGTTCAGCCTTCGTTCACCCATTAATGCTTTTTTCTTTGACGCTATGCAACATCGCACCTGTATTAGTTCATGAATGTTAATAATTCACGCGGCCGTTTCCAGCAAGCGCAGCCCTCCCATGTTTTCCAGCGTTTCGTGACTTGTAAGATTGGTCACATCGCGCCTGCGAGCTGTCAGTGCTGCGAACCTGTCCGATCCACAGATAGAAGGACGCAGAAGCGGTCCTGTGCCACGCGATAATTTTAGAGATGTGCCATTGCTTTCGTTTGCAGGACGTAGGTTCTGTTCAGTCTTTCTGGTTTTGTATTTTATTGTGAATAAAGACTATGCATTTCTGCTGTGTGTATCTGATGAATCTTGAGGCGTACGGTGGGCTGGCTAGACGGACGGCAGATCGTCAGGATTGATTAACGAGGTCGTGACTTCATCGATGGGAGGAATTCACGTTTCCCGCGGTGAACCCTGCAACTTGGTTCCCTCACAAAATGTCCCCGGATCTCGGCCATCTTATTTTGATAGTCATGTTTTTAATTCGGGGAACTACCCTCCTTTGTGCATCGTTGAGGGTTGGGCAAGTAGGTAGGTGCGTGGAACATGTCCATTTTCTCCAGCGGCTGGGGGATCCCACCACTGCGACCTCAGTATTTCAGAGAACATCTGGCGAAATGAGAAAAGTTGCCGAAGTCGGGCACGATTGCTCATTTGCTTTACATCAACGTGATGAAAGGCTGACTATCGTTAAGTTAGGTACGCGAAGCCAGCGGTAAGTCGTGTTTTGTAGCTTGCTGGCCAGGGAATGGTTTGATGTGAATGATGCTTGTTAAGTGGAAAAGACTTATCTGGGCAACACAATTTCTGCACTCAGTAAACGTGCCACTCAAGCAGTTACTGTTTGATTGCGTCATGGAACGTTTGTATGCCGATATTTACTGCTCACTCACTTGTGATTATTCAGTCCGTTGAGAGGTGACAGCATGGGCTGGAAGTGGTCGCCGAGGCATATCGTTAAGTGCTTTTGTTTTGGCCCTTGCTTCTGCTGTTCTTGCATATGTATCCGTGGGTTTATGACATGTTTACTTGTGTTCACAAACTTGGTTGTAGCGTTTTTCTAAAGCTGTTCTATTACAGGTCATTTCTGTGATATCTAGGAAGAACGTGTAACTTTCCGACCCTCTGATCCTCTATTTTGCTCCATCCTGCATCCTCGCGAGATCCCGCTTCTCCGGGGCAGGCCGTATGCGTCAGCTACAAGTGGATCGAGAATCCCGTGGGAAAGGAAACCCCGACCGGGTACCCAGCGCACACGCGCGAGTAAAAGCTCACGGCTGGTCCCCCAAGCGCATGCAAGTCTGCCTCACCGTTACCATTTTCCTTCATCCCATAGCCGTGAAATGATCATTTTTGGTCAAGAGGGTTCTAACCTAAACAACCAACCAGCCAACAGAGGCGCCACATACGCGGTTGCCAACCCGTGGGCATCGGTAGCATCACTGCGGCACCAGGTGTGCCGACGTCCACCCCACGGCATTGTCAGATATCGCGCCTCTAGACGACCGCCCCGGAATCCGGCACAACAGCGGGTGGGCCTTACGGCACTTTTCCCACAAACGTCAGGTAGAACGACAGCCCCGCTCATGCTTGGCGTGGGGCGGCGGAATCACCCGGGCGGGCGGCGGCCGCCGCGGCAGTCGCCCCCAGCGGTGGGCCCACGCTCCAGCCTTTCCGAAAGGATGTCGCCAAACACGTCGCGTACGACTGCGGTCGACCCCCGCAGAGTTCTAGAGCCCCAGGGAGACAGGTAGATGACGGCCTCACCATCACTCGGTGTGAGCACGGCAGACCGTCCGCGGCAGCGGTCGTGGAGGTGGGTGACGGGGTAATTTTCTTGCAATTTCCCCATGCAGATAACTCCAACTGGAATGAGTGACCACGGAAGTACAATCAATTGATGTTTCAGGATTTCTGACTGATGGCTGATTGCTTGCAACGCTTACTGCTGGTATTACCTCATCTCGTAAACCCATTTAAAATCGGTTCTACCTTTTTTGTCCGCGATTTTGCACAGCGATCTCAGCCAATGCTCTGCAGTGGCTTTGTCAGAGCGAGTCCGTTTCCTGACTGCATCGATATGGCGGCTGGCTTAACGTGCTAGCAACCGGACCACCCATCGTCCTGATTGGCCAAATAGGGAAGTGTACAAGCAGCGTAATCGCCAATCCCCGAGTGATGACGGCACCGGGTCGTGGCGCCATTCAAGAAGTGCTACACCCACCAAGTGTGGGGTGGCAATTGAAAGGAGCTCTGCTGAAGTCAACATTTGGCGAGCGTTCAGGAACGAATCCCTCGGACACTCCGACCGACGGTGCGGGCGAGGGTAGAGGCAGCGGCAGTGTGCCGCCATTCACCGAGCGGCTAAGATGTCCGCGAGGAACGGGTCTGCCAGTTCTCTCGCATGGGGTCTCGCGTACGTGCGTCAGGGGCCGCAAAATCGGCACTGCCGCATCGCCTTGCCGGAAAAACATCGGAGTGGTCGTGTAGATGTGTATATTCATATCTAACCGTTCGCCACCCACTCGCACGAGACGCGGCAGTTTCCGGGCCAGGTTCACGTGATCCCTCAGTACACCGTCTCAAATCATTTGCATCCGACACGCAGCCCGTGGCCCTACACGACCACCCCAGATTCGCGCCGCTAACCGGGCCGGGTTCGGGGACGGCGCCGGGGCCTGGCGGGGCCGCCGCCGGCCCACCCGGTCAGCGAGCAGAGCACCCCCAGCGTCCGGCCTCCCATCCGTGCTGCGCCGCTTAGAACGCGAACAGCAGCAGGAACGCCATCATCAAGCAGAACAGACCCATGGCCTCGGACAGGGCGAATCCCAGGATGGCGTACGAGAAGAGCTGCTGCTTCAGCGAGGGGTTCCGCGCGTAGCCGATGATGAGCGAGCCGAAGACGGAGCCGATGCCGGCGCCAGAGCCGGCCGAGCCGACCGTGGCGGCGCCGGCACCGATGAACTTGGCGGCCGAGTCGATGTCGCGGGAGACGGCCGACGTCTGCAGGGACCGGTACGGCACCACCGCCTGGCTGGAGGCGGGCGCGGCCGCCGCCGGACTGACGGGAGCCACCGCCACCGAGCTCAGCGGCCGCAGCAGCTGCCGGCACCACACGGCACGGTCAGGGCGATCGCGGACACGACCACGGCCGAGACGCACGCAGGTCAGGCCATCACTGTTGACGTGCAATGCAATAAGCTAAAAACATGTTACTGCAGACACTTCATAATGCAAAACACAACTGATGTGTGCACCAGACTCCTGCCACCCAAAGTATATATTTGGATGCTGCAGCACCAATGACACAATCATGACCAATCATTCCACACTCCTGGCACCAGGCAAAAAGCTTCACAAATAGCAGGACAGACCATGGTCAGGGACAACCAAGCTTCAGCTGCATTCGCTGTAACATATCTCTTGCAGAACATGAACTGCTCTTAATGATCAAACAAAAAATCATGGAACCTCAGAATCAAACATATTTTACATGGAGAGGAGTGCTCGTGTGCTTACCACGGTCCGGGTCGCCGGGAGAACGAATCTGGAGCAGGCATACATGATTTTGTGGCTTGGAGGGATGTGGTGTTAATCAAAAAAGCTCCTGCAATAAATAGAGTTGTTAAACAGGATTTAAATCACATATACCTGAAACCTTCAGTTCACTGTGTCATGACCAGAGCACCAAAAGAATAAAAACCAGGTCTATGGTTCCAAAAAGCACAAATGAGTGTGACTTACTACTGGATTATGCATTTGCTTAGGACACATTTCAGCACTAGCAAATCCTGCAGTAATGAGTACAATGCACTTCTAATATTCTAGTCAATATGAAAACATAGTTCTTCTGTCAAGGTCAAAATATCACACATTCTCGAGTACATCACTAGTGGCTACTGATGCATTTTACTGCAATTCCTTTTCTCACAACTTTTTCTTATCTGTAATACTTTTCTATTTACACTCAGCCATCGATTTAGCTTCCTGGCTCCTGCGTCAGCAAAACTAGCAAGAATCCTTGCACGGCATGAAACCTGAGTTGATGACTGATTATTCAGCTTAAAGGGTGCACTGACGGCTAATGAGAATTCAATAAACTGTGTTTCTTGCGTATCCAAGCAGTCTTCCATACTGTTTGTAGATTGGTCAACATGGTGGGGAAATGTGACGTTTTTGCGTGGGAATGAAAAGCAAAATGAGAATATGGCGGCTAAACAAAACTTCTTAATATGATACATATATATGGCATGGAACATCGATGCCAATGGGACACTGGGTTGAAGGGGATAGGGTGGGGGTTAGGTTAGGTTAGGTTGTTAGGCTAGGTTAGGTTAGGTTAGGTTAGGTTAGGTTAGGTTAGACCACACTAGGCTAGTTTAGTTTAGGCTATGTTCTGGACTATTCTGGCCTGCCCATTTGATAAGCATACCTAGACGCCATAAGAAACGTTTTTCATTGCATTATTATTGTTACCTTGGTCGGCACATTTTTATGGTTCTTGACAGACAGAGATATTGTAATTATGCAACCGCAACACAGAAAACAGCGCTGGGGAGTCAAGGTGATGGGGTGCGTGCGGCACTTGGGGCCTCGCTATCGTTAATATTATAATTTGGAGGTAGGAGCATGAATCTACCTGTTTTAAGTTATTTTTTTAGATTTTAAGTTACTTATTCAAGTATAAATATTAACAATGCACTAATTATGATACCCAACATCTGACCACCGCAAACACACAGAACACACACAGCAGCCGCGACACTGGCGCCATTACTGTGCGTGCTTGGTCACAACATTACTGCTCACAACATTACTGTGCATCAAGCGGCATCAAGAACTACAAAAATGTACTGGCCAAGGTAACAAGAATCCAAGAAATTTGATCCTTGACCCCAATGGGATAATGGGTTGCAGGGGGATTGGGTGGGGAATGTAAAACAAAATGAGAACATGGCTAATTAAAATTTGAAGGTAGGAGCACAATTCTACCTGTTTTGAGATTATTTACAATATATTCCACCTTAAACACAACAAATGGTGTGCAATGTTTTCTAACATTAGGTAGGAAAGTACACCTACACCAGTTCCAATGTAAGAGTGTAGATGACTTGTTTTATGATTAATTATATGTTCTGCCTTAAAAACAACGATTGATGTACAATGCTCTTTTGTAACATGAGGTAGGAAAGTACACCCCGACCCAATACATTATAACTGGTGGCATGAATGCCCAAAACTATGGTACACACACTTACAGCATACGTGCACCGATATTCTTGCTGTAATTCTCCGCTATCCAAGACATGCTCAGCTCAAAATTTCAATGATCTAAGCATGGTACCAGAGGTGCACCCACAGTTTAATTCCTGGAATTTTACTTCACCCCAGAGCTGAGCCTTAAGAGTTAAAACCTATGGTTTAAATAATACAACAGTTGCCTCAAGCTGCATACAGATGAGTTAAAATAGTACTGACATCCCATCACTCTTCGCATGCGCCATTAGCGTAACCGCAAGATTGTGTCGCCTTGGAAGCTGCCGCAGTCGCTATACCGCACATATAACATCACAAAAACATACTTTCGGCACAACGCTACGTCTCAATACTAACACCACTTCCGTTCATGTAAAGCACAAATGCTGCACCAAACGACCCCAGTCCACCCACCTACCTCAGAGACCCGGCGCCGACAAGAGGGGAACACGCTGAAAATGGAAGTCGAGAAATTTTCTAGCTCGGGCTACCAAATGAAAAATGGGCAGCCCAGAAATAGAAATAGACTAATTCCTAGGTTGCTTAACTGCAATAAGGCACAACAAGATTGATGAACACACAACATATTTAAATCTTACCTAGAAATTTTGGATAGGCATCGTTTTTTAAAAAGAACTCATCAAAATGGAGTAAATGACAAACACAGATTTGTAGACTGAAATATTTTAGTGGAATTTGGTCATTATCGGGGACCGTTGCTCTGTGCTGTGACGGCAGGGGTTAAACTGCGGACAAAACCATTTGACAACTCCGTTCTCCGAGCCTATGACACAGATCGACACCAAACCTTCACCATTCGATGCTGCTCGATCGATTCCTATATTTTTCAGAACATGATGATTTTTGGTCGGCGTGAAAAGTTGCCAAAAATACCCCCAAATGAAACTGATTGGCAAAAACTTTTACTATTCAATGCACCATAATCGATATCATATCCTTTTAAGAGCATGGAACATGGGGCCTTGAATCAGACATCAATGGCCACCAAAAACGTCCAACACTACCGAAATGGGTTGCAGGCGACTCCCCGCTTACAACCTGTACGACTGTCCGGCACAAAATCTTTCCCAATCGGTGAACCGTGCCTCATAGCATATGTTTTCTAGAACGTAATGACCTTGGAGCAGGTCAGAGGTCATCAAAAAACGGCTAAATCCACCTTTAGTTAGTTTGCAGTTTGCTCTGTGCCTATGAAACTGATCGGAAAAACATTACCAATCGATATGCCACAGTCGGTACCGTATCCTTCTCAGAACATGCCAACTTTGGATCAGGTCAAAGGTCACGAAAAACGCCCCAAAAACGGAAAAATAGGGTTTCAGAGAAATTAAATCGACAAGCATCTGGGCTGATTGTCACAAAATATTTGGCAATCGATGCGTTATATTCGACATCGTCTTCATTTCTAGAAAAGGTGGCTGAATCAAAGGTCACCACAGAGCAAACAACCGGAAAAACAGATAGATTTGTTGGTTTGGGCGTGTCAGGTGCCTTTTAACCCGACCCAGGGTCATTATGTTCTGGCGGCGAAGAAAATGTTGACTATGACACATCGACTGGTGAAGGTTTTGTGCCGATTAGTTTCATAGCCTTGGAGCATGTGGTTGTCTGTAGCCCTATTTGTCCGACCTTTTATATTTTTGTTGACCTTTGCCCTGACCCACATTCACCATGATCCGCGAAGTATAGGTTATAATCGTCAGTATAGCGCACCGAGTGGATACGATTTTGAGCCAATCAGGCCCCTAAGCTCGGAGCATGGGATTGTTCGTGACCTTTGACCTGACCTAAGGTTACCATGTTCTAAACAGGATAAAATATAGGTTATCACGCATCCATCGGTAAGAGTTTTGTACCGGTCAGCTCAACAGGCTCGGAGGGTGGCTTGTCTGCATTTTTATTTTTTCCAGTTATCGGTTGTTGCTAGTGACCTTTGACTTGGCTCAAGATCGCCATTGTCTGGAAAGAACATTGTTCTGGACAGGAAAGGATATCGACTATGGTGCCTCAGTCGGTAAAGGTTTGTTGCCGATCCGCCTCATTGGCTAGAAGCATGGGGTTGTTTGCAGCTCTCCTTTTCGGCTTTTGGTGTTTTTGGTGATATTTGACCCGAACAAAGGTCACCGTGTTCTAAAAAGGATAGGGAATCGATTATGGTGCAAAGATTGGTGAAGGTTTTGCATTTAATCGTCTCAGTTTTATGTCCATGCAATAAGCTTCGAGCATGTGGTTGTCCGCAGCTCCTCGACGGCTGGTGCAGTTTCCTGGTGGTATTCTTCAGTGGTTTTGGGCGTTTTAAGTGACCTTTGGTCGGCCCCAAGGTCACCATGTTCTAGAGACGATAGGTTTGCGACCAAGCCGCATCGAAAAGTGAAGATTTGGTGTCGATTGGTGCCATGGGCTTGGAGCATGGGACCGTCAACAGGTTTTGTCGGTCGCTTGGTCTATCCCGTAATGGCGCACGGCGACATCTGCGATAGGAAGAACCAGATTCGACTACACTATTTTAGGCTGTAAATCTCCGCTTGCTTTTTGCATGCCTGTGATGTCACCACACGCCGGATCAGTACGGCCGGGTTGTAAAGGTAGCTATATCGTTGCATCGTATGATATGCCGTGCGACGCCTGAAGTTCGGGACAGGCAAGCGAAGCTCACTCAAATGTACATAAATGCATGAAACACAGCAATGGTGATACTGTTTGAAAGGATGATACGGCAATTCATTACCCGACATGACCTGACATAAGTAGTGACTTGCCGTATCATCCTTTCAAACGATATGAACGTTGCTGTTTTAAAGTATTTAAGTGTAGGAGCAATGTAGGACACGTTTGCCTTCAAATCAGTCTACTTCGCGCCTGTTTTCTTAATGCGCAATGGACCAACTCCACGGATATCAATTTTGAAACAAAACGAAAGAAGGCACCACAACTGCCGAGGTCAGGCTAGTGACAATGACGTATATGAAAAATGAAAAGACAGCAGAACCATTGCAAACATAGAGAAAACCAGCTTATCATGATGTTGACGCTTATCGGTTGCAATTATAGGGCATTGGGACGCTTTATTTTTTGGCATAACTATTCATAATCGGCATAAACGGCCTCGGTGAGGACGACCGCCGGGTCCGTGGGGGCGGCCGCCGTCCCCGACGGTCGTGGCGCGTGGTTCCTGTAATTTGAGGGCCACTTTGTGCGCTCTTCTTCTCGTTCCGCTCTTTGGTCTCAAAATACCCTTGCAAAATAAGAACTTTGCAACAGGTAACTGGCTAATGTAGACAAGCTGTTCCAGGCTCATTTATCAATAAAACAGCTGCATCAGCCTCATGTGACTGACAGGGCCAATTACAGTATCACTCTCCCCAAACCTGCACCATGCTGTATCCCTGCACCTGTACCCGGCCAGGCGATGCTGCGCGTGGAGTACGACGAGTCCATGTACAACTACATCTCGTACTCGCCGGCCCGCTCCGTCAAGCCCCGCAACAGGACATTCGAGGATTTCTGCGACATTCGCGAGGAGGTGGACAGGGGCACCCAGGGCATCGCCTACCACGTCATACAGCGCTCCAGCAGTGAGCGCTCAGAGCATCACTCACCATGGCATACAAGGTCTCAGCAGTGAACGCTCAGAGCATCACTCACCATGGCACACAGGGTATCGGCAATGAACGCTCAGAGCATCACTCACCATGGCACACAGTGTCCCAGCAGTGAACGCTCAGAGCATCACTCACCATGGCACACAGGGTCTCAGCAGTGAACGTTCAGAGCATCACTCACCATGGCACAAAGGGTCTCAGCAGTGAACGTTCAGAGCATCACTCAGCACGACACACAGGGTCTCAGCAGTGAACTCCCGAAGTCTCAGCTACCACAGCACGCATGCACGTGCAGAACTACCCAGCACCGCGTTCAGGGATAACGAGAACAGCGCCTACTACTTTAATCACAAGTCCAAAAGAAATCGTGGAGACGTACATGATACGAGCATGCAAAGTGTCGTCATCGTCACCCAAATGCATTACGACAGCGAATTTGGACTGTTCTTTGGCTCGTGAAATAGGTAACTAGCTCTGCATTTTTTTGTTCCACTTTTGCTGTTTTTAGAATCGATCTCCCGCTTCTGCTATGATGAACACCGCCAAAAGATTTACTCAGTCGGGATGTCTGCCGGGTTATATACGCATGCCTGATGCCTGCCTAAGTACTACCCAGTGAATTTATAGCGCTCCAGCAGACAGTAACCATGCTGCATCTGAAACCGACTGCGAGCGTCTGCATTGGTGGAATTCTTAGCAGTGATTTGCCGTAGACCGAAGCTTATAAATGTTAAAATACCATTTACATGCATCCTAAGTTCCTGAGATTACGCTGGACCTTCCGCATCATCCGCGCGTGTGGATTGTGCCAGTAATATCGTCGCCCTCGCCAGCTGTGCCGTGCCTGTGTGATGTCACTATTCCCGGTATGTCACCGCCCCTGCTCGCAGGCTGCAGCTTCGCGGCGAAAGCGATGAACGGCAAGGTCAACTTGCGCCAGGAGATGAACAGCGAGATGTGGATCATGAACCAGCTGCACGACCGTCAGCTGGCACGCCTGTACGACGTGTACGAGTCGCCGCGCCAGCTGATCCTCGTCCAGGAGCTGTGCAGCGGCGTTTGATGTGCTGCATGTGCTCTGTCGTCAGCCCAGCTACAACAAGGCGGGACGTGGCCAACGTCGTACGCCAGACGCTCCGGGGCCTACAGCACATGCATCTCAAACACATCGCACACCTCTCACTCACGGTGCGTGGAGGCGTGGACGTCATTGCGACGGCTCCATTTGTAGAGTCGCCGTAAGGTTTCAGGTCTTAGGTCTCAGGCTCCGTTAGGGCTCAGGTGTCCCCGCTTGAGGATCTCACAGAATAACTTCCGTGTCACCGGGCACGTAATGCTGAGATTATTAATGGCAGAATAATGCGACATAAATGCGACATTTGTTCACCAACTGGAAAAATGAGAATATTTCTGTTGGTAGCTCATACACAATCACCCTTCTGTCGAGGTCGTGTTCTTCATTATTCGTGTTCACATGAACGATAACGTGCATTTGCACTCTATTGTTGAACATACAGTCTTTACAACTGCCCTACGATCATTTGCTCTATCTCATGGCGCATGACGCCGCGGCCATACATGAAGGAAAAATGCCAGGACGCCCAACGCCGGACTAGCCCGAATGCGCTGAATTACGAAATGTTGAAGAGGATAATTTGTTGTCTGTCGCAACGCAGCTTAGCGTATTTTGTGTAACACCAGCCGTTATCTGATGACGTTTGGCGACCGCTACTCAGTATCGTTTGTTTTGTTGTGGCATTTTAAGTGGTTGGGGAGAGCGAGGTTGAGCGTCTGCACACACGGCTTGGACCGCATAACGTCATTTGACACGTCACAGATCAAACCCACCGAGAGCCTGTTTCTGA